CGGTTTACGTTTCAGGCTCTAGGGTTTAGTAACCCTAAACCCTAAACCCTAAACCGGCTTAGGGCTTAGGTTATTTCGTTTTTTCGAATTCCGCCCCGGTATCCGGCCTAATCAGATAATCATTAGGAACCCATAAAGAACATAAGCATAAGCATGTTGTAGGGATATCCCTACCTTATTGGGCTTCATTACAAGGGGGTTTATATGGTATATCCCTATCCTAATTTTTGCTTATGTGCTCTTTGGGGACCCTAAATCAGCTCATCAGGATCACTAGAACACGCGATCTGGGATACCATCGGAGAGGATAGATCGAAGTTGCCACTTCCAGAGCTCACCGTAGTATCTGCTTGGAGGCCGTGCATACAACTGTATACTCCAACACCCTTTTGCAATGTTCAAGGCGCCTAAAATTCAAAAAGTACCATAAGGCAGGCTTGACAGACCCCAAGAATTCTGAAAGGTCTTGTTTTGGGGGTTGACCGACCCCACAGCCCTAGTCGGTTTCGGGCTTAGCTCATCTAGTGGTCGGAATCATTAGTAATTAGAGCCCCGTATGGTTTTATCTGTATGGCTATAGTATGAGATACTCCAAATCGGTGATCTCACTGCATGTTGAGGACGCCGTGGCGGCCTGCGCCGTTGCCAGCGTGTTCATCCAGATGGGGTTGTGGTGCCGCCCTCAAGTCGCAGAATCCCAGAAAGCCTCTATACAGGGGGCTACCATATAAAGGCTGTGCGAAAACGGACTACTATCCGGAGTTCAGGGTTTTGGGGTTTGGACCTGTAACAATGGAGGGATCCAAAGGACTATGCTGCATTCCGTCATTGGGGAGTCTTTTAGTTGGTTGCGAAGCCATGCCTTCGGGGTTTGGGATTTTGATCGAAGGCAGAATGCCGAGGGGAAACTGCAATCAACCTGTTCAAGACTACCTGCTCTTGCCATTCGCGGGGTAGGACAGCGACTAGACGTTCTCTCTGGCCTGCGTCTTGTGTTTGCTTGAAGGGGCTGAATTCAGGATGCCGCAATAGGGGTATAATTTCAGAAAACAGCCTGCCGAATTTGTATCTGTTTCCATAGCAAGAGCGCAGTTTCAAGCGCAGTGTTTAGGGTTACTGGGCCAATGGCCCACGCGCCCGGAAGCGTCCAAGACTTGAGAGCGCGAGGGTTCGAAGGAGAGAGATCGAGCAGCAAGCCGCAGGGCTTAAACCTAAAGCCCTAGTAATGAGTTTAGGATTTCGGGTTTAGGGTTTAGGGTTGTAAGCCTTATAGATTATCCCACAACTGACATCCTGAACCCGCAACCCGAAGCCCTGTTTTGGGCAAGCCCTGTTTTGGGGTTTCGTTTCGCAGATTCTTCCTGCATTACTTTGACTTTCTGTAGTGAAGGCCCAGTGAAGGCTCCAACCACAACTAGATGTGGGCTTCCTCGATCCTGGTAGCTATAGAACAGGGTTTGGTGGATGTAAGGTGTATAGGGCTTACAACATGTTGCTGATTATTACAACCTCTACCTGATGCGACTGCTGAAGACTGTGCTCCTTTGGAGCGGCATCTCGGAGCCCTATAAATCCCTAAGCCCTACTTTCGGCCACAGCCTACATAGGCCCAACAGGAACTCTAGCTAAAACCCTAAACCCTAAACCCTAAACCCTACATAGGCCCAACAGGAACCCTGGCTTGTCTATGGAACCAGCTCGAAAGATTCCCAAAGCCCTGAGACCTGGAGTCTACCCACTTCATGAGGGCTTCGGTTTGGGGGGCCCCATATTTTTTCCACCCCCTGCCATAATTTTTTAACCCCCCCCCTATTTTTTTGACGCCATGTGTCGCCCCGGTTGGCCAGGGAGTCCAGGATCTCCGGTTTCGGGTTCAACTGTCTGGTGCTTAGTAGGGAATGGGGGGATGGATCCCTATGTTAGTCCCTTAAAGGTCCCTTATAGTAGTCCCTATAACCCATTCCCTACGAAGCACCAGACAGTTCAAGGGCTTCCGATTTTGCTTCGTGTTGAAATCCAGGTTGCATGCATGGGGATTTCTAGGAGCTTCGTGCAGCTGATAACTGGAAGGCATGGGAACCCCCGACTCTCCCTGGTAGGGTTTACTGGGCTTTGGAGCACCATGCTTTAATACTTTTTTGGGACCATGATGAAAAAATCTATATTTTTCTCCCAGGTTACTTCAAAGCCCAGTTTATGTAGGCTTTCCTCAAACGAATCTTGACTGCGTTGTCAGAGAAGCCCTCATAATATGGGCAGTTCTCTAAATTAGGGCCCCTTTCAAGGTCCTTTTTATAAGGGTGCCATACTATATTGGGGACCCAAAAGGGGCCCTAATTTAGGAAACTGCCCATCTACGTATTGTTCAATCTGCAGCCTGGAGAAAAACCATCCTGCCTGTGCAGGCATAGAAGCCTCTCCCTGCTATGTTGCCTCAGGATCCTTGAGGCAGTTTTCCGATGCTGTTACGGGGAAGAGTTTCCCCAATGCTAGGCTTAGGGTCTGCGACAGGTTGGACCGGGTGCCCATGACAATCCCTTCCATAGTCTTTAGGGTTTAAAGGGCATCTGAGATTCTGAGATTGTCTTCAACGCGCGTGGTGTGTTGTTCTTTATTCTGCAGTGGCTTCTGGTTTTGTGTTGCCGATTGCACGGCCACACGTATTCTGTTTGCCATGGTTTGGGGATCTGAGGCATTGAAGCTTTGGAGAACGGCGGGATCAGCACGTTGGGGTGCGGTTCTATAGGAAAGCTATCATCATGGTTCGGGTTCAGACATAGGGGGTGTTTCGGTTCCTGCCGGCCCGAGGAACAATCTTGCGATCAACCGGAACCCTAATCAATAGCATCAGTGCCACTCGACGCGGTGAAGGTAGGACAAGTTTGACCAGGCCCAGTCGGGGAGAGTTGCATGTCGCCACTCCGGGGCTGGGAGGGGGGGAGCAGCCAAATCCACGGCTAGTTGCAGAGTTTGTGGGTCTTCGAGTGCGTTTTACGCTTTCTCCTCCGAATGCGATTGTGTTAATCATTTACATTTACATCACAGAATTTCTTGATTCAAAAATTGCTGGAGAGGGCAGACGACACTGATATTTCCAATGTTGTCTGCTTGTGCACGAGGATGTCATTGAGTCATCGTCGGGAGAAACAGGCACGAGTGCGTTCTGTATGGGCTTTTGTACATCGGTTTTCTTGCAGAAGCCTGAAACGGGGCCGTTTTGTTGACGAGGTGTCTGCCTTGAAAGAGAGCACCAGAGCATCCATGCCGAAATCCTAGTATCGTCCGTCCTAATTGCATGCGATCACCAGCACCCATTCCTAAATCCAAATATTGTCCTTTCCGAGTTGCACATAGTACCCTAGATGATGATGATGATGATGATGATGATGATGATGATGATGCATTAAGCGAGAAGCGATAGAGCTCCACGGCCCAGTGCGGCAAGTGTTGGCACAAGCGAAACCGTCTATCTTTCATGCCGGCATCGGGGTCCGCTCGCATCCAATCTCCGGTAGAAAATCGGCTTAGTTTGCGTGACGAAGAGGACCTAAACCCTAAACCCTAAACCCTAAACCCTAAAGAGCAGGTGCACCAGTTGCCTAGTCGTAGCTGCTGCCTTTGCTTCTACATCACTGGGTTCTTGTTAAGGGATTTAATTTAAGTTACCATGATAGGGATCTACAGTAAATAATATGGTTTCCTTATTATGGTAACTTAAATTAAATCCCTTAACAAGAACCCAGTTCAAGCGCCCCCATGTGCGAGCTGCGTGTTCGTCTTCCACAGCATGGGAGCCTGCATTGTCCAAACGCGCTCCAGAAAGGGGTAGCGTTTCTTTTCGAGTATGTTGCGCCCATGCCGCCATGACTGTGCAGACCATGTACCCGGTGGCAGGATCCCCGCTGCAGGCTCCCATCGTGTTTGTAAGAGGGCTAGCTCCCAGCATCTGCAGCTGATAAGTGTTCGTTTCGTCCGCAAACCGATGTGCCCGGGCAACAAGTGCCGTGAGCCCAGAACAACGACCGGATCGACAGTTACCGAAACCCGAAACCCTCAACCCTAAACCCTAAAACCCTAAACCGAAAGTAAGAAGAAGCCGTCCGCTGCTCCCGGGTCGCTCTCGGCTCCTCCAGGCCCGGAGAGCCGCCTTTCCTTCCCTAGGCTTCGGTGGGGGCTGCGGTGGTTGGGGGGGGGGGGGGGGAGGGTGGGATTTCTTTACTGCCTAAACTGATAGGACCTTGTAGAGCGATGATGCACCCCTTATAGAACCCTCACAAAGCCGCTCTAACAAGAAGTGATGTAGAATGAACCTTGGTCCAGGTGGTGGTCGACGGCTTCAGCCGCAACGCAGCTGTGGCCGCTGCTGCGCGCTGCGGTGCGTGGGAAGAGGCCCTTTGATGATTTCGCGCGGTGTCGGGATGTACTGGGGCTTCATGGAATTTCGGCTTGGTGTGTGTTTCTACCGAAGCAAAACTTGAAATTTGGGAATACTAAGAATTTCAGGAATTCTAGTAGAAGGGTTGGTTGGTAATTTACTTTCCAAGACTAATTATTCCCTAGGGTTCATTGCTGGTGCTACTGAATGCCATAAGCACAACAAATATAAGCGGAGCATTAGCACAACGAAGATGTACGGTGACTGGGTAGACTGACATTCTCCCAAGAAAACATTACCGCAAGGGCACTGGTGCAGAAAGACATGACCTCAGCGTTCTCTAGATATCGAAACACCAATGCCAACGATGCGAAATGGACAATGGTTCACAACGTAGAACGACGACAACAGCATGCCACAGTGCTATACCTAGAAGACTCAGACTACAAATTGGCATGTAACGACGTCAATCAGAACAGCACTGGTCATGAGTGTGGTAGCATACACAACCGTCTGCATACAAGTAAGAGCCATTATCTTCCAAACCACGAAGACCCTAAGCCCTAAACCCTAAACCCTAAACCGTCATTCTCAAACCCGAAAAGAGTCATCAAGCCTGTATAGAACCTATCCTAAACCCCAGAAATGCCAAAACCCTTCATGCGGACAAGAAAACACCCCTTCAAAAGCTTTAACGCCTCAACTTTTCATGCACCCTAAACTTTACCTAAACCCTAAACCCCTAAACCCTAGACCCTAAACCAATAAACCCCTAAACTACACTTAACAAAAAACCTAAACCCTGAACCCTAAACCCTGAACCCTAAACCCTAAACCCTAAATCCCTAAAGCCCTAAAGCGCCCCTAAACCCTAAACCCCTAAACCCTAAACCCTGAACCCTGAACCCCTAACCCTTAAACCCCCAAACCCTAAACCCACCTTAAGGCTCTGGCCTTGGCCGGTGGCTGCGGCGCGGTCGCGGATATGGCCCCACTCGGGGGCGAAGGGAAAGGGTAATTTGGTGCTGTTTAGCGGCTTTTACATGGAACTGACTGTTTAGGGTTAGTGATTGCCAGCCTTTGGATTTTAGCGTGTTGCAGGCATTTCGGGCATTGAGGGTTTCGGTTGGGCTTTCAAGATTTCGGTCGTCCTGGAAGTTTGGCCAGGATGAAATTGGTGAATTGGAACTTTCCGATTGGTGGCTTGGGTTAGGCCCCTACACGAACAGTGGCATATCAAAGAACATAGAGGAACCCCACGGCAATATTACTGCCTGTGGGTTCCTGCGCCTCAACCGTGGCAGTTGGGGTATTGGGACCAGGTTTCGTGTGTCGGAGGGCATCTGTCCAGGGTTCATCTGTAGGTAGTATTATTAGGGGTACCCCTTAAAGGGTACCCCTTCTGAACCCTTAAAAGGGACCTTATTGAGAGGGTCTATATCCCCAAGGGTCCCCCTAATCCTAGCAGTCCTAGCACCCAATCTGGTTTTCAACCCATGCGGCCGTGTTTTGAACATGAAGATGATTTAGGCGGTCCGTGGGGAGTTAAGAACGACCGTGGCTCGCATCCCGAAGCTACTGCACTGGAGTTCGTGCGCGTGTGTGTGTGTGTGTGTGTGTGGGTGCGGGGGGGATGTTTTGCAAAAGAGTTGAAGTACCCGTTGTAACTTGGGTTTCAGGCTTTGGATTCCGAGGTTCCAATCCATGGCAGATATTTCGAGCGTCCTGAAGGACATGACAACTGCTAAGCCAGTGGCCCATTTGCAACAGGTCGCCTTTGCATCGATTTGCGCCGCCTTGGCTCCCCTTGGCAGCTCTGCTGCAGTTCAGGTTTGTTTGAGATCGCTGCCGCCAGATGCTCGGGGATGACACGGGCTGGCCGACGGTCCATGTTCTAAGTTGATTCCAGTCATGTCGGGTTTAGGGTTTAGGGTTCATGTCTCTGCGTTCACGCAATGGGTGCTCAAATGGACTTTCAAGGACACCCTGTACCTTGTGATGTGCAGCAGGCTTGGCTTTCCTGCATGCATGTGTGTTTGTTGTTATGATAACCCTAAACCCTAAACCCNNACCCCAAACCCTCTATTATTTCCGGGGGTAGAACTGTTCATTCTGCAGAAACCTTGCAGAGTGAGCGTTCCAGAAGTCTCGGGCTGCTGAGTTCAGGGACCTCGGTGTCTCATGGCCACTCGGGGTTCAGTTAAAGAAAACTACAGGGGTTTTAGGGCTTTGGGTTTAGGNNGGGTTTGGGGTTTAGGGTTTCAGGGGTTTAGGGTTTAGGGTTTCAGGGTTTTAGGGGTTTAGGGTTTCAGGGGTTTAGGGTTTAGGGTTTCAGGGGTTTAGAGTTTAGGGTTTCAGGGGTTTAGGGGTTTGGGGGTTTAGGGTTAAGGGCGTACAGGGGTTTAGGGTTTTAGGGGGTTTAGGAGAGTTTAGGGACTATCGGGCCTCTATAAGGCTTCTATCAGGTATATAGACCTTCTATAAGGCTCCTATAGCGGAAACTACCCACCTGAAAAATGTCCTAGATGTAGTTAGGGGATACCATTTCCATTTTCTAACCATGCACACCCCCCTAGCACCCAAACCATAACAACCTATGCCTGAACCCTAAACCCACCGAAAGACCCATATGAAAGACCCACCTGAAGACCCAAAAAGACCCAAAATCATAACAACCTATACCTCAACCCTAAACCCACCGAAAGACGCACACCAAGACTCATAGCAAGACCCCTAGGATGGAGCCACTAAAAGACTCATACACCACCACATAGAAAAAACCCAACCTCAACCCCATAGACCCGCAATCCCATAGAAAAACCATATTCCATAACCCTAGAAAATGGAAATGGTTTTCTGTAATAGAATATCTATAATAGGAATAAGGTTTAGGAAGAAGGTTGGCCTATACTACTCCCCAGGCGTCCTTATTGTAGTTACCACAATATGGGTAGTTCTCTAGATTAGGGTCCCTTCTTGGATCCACAATATCTTCCGGAACCCTTATAAAACGGACCCTAAAAGAGACCCTAAACCCTAAACCCTAAACCCTAAACCCTAAACCCTAACCCTAAAATATAGAGAATTATCCATAGACTCCCTTAGCTGAGCCATGATCCTCGCGTGCTTGAGGTCGCTGGGCTTCGGCCGTGGCTTACCTGACAGCTTCCAGCCCGAGGTAGGGTGAAGTCTGGTGTTACTTTCCCTAAGGGTCCATGTACCCAAATAGTAGAACATTGGCCCTAAAGTACCCATATAGGGACTACATTAAGGCCCATGGGTACATGGACCCTTAGGGTTTGTTTTAGTTTAGGGCATTTTGGTAGAGGTCTGTATGGTTTCGTAGGGGTTTCTACAAGAATAAGAGTAGTATAGCTTGGGGATTACTATTTTTGTGACTTAGGGGCCAGGTTGGCAAGGAGTTGTGGGAGTATGAATATGTCTCACACAATGCGGGGGATTTCTGTTGCAGATGGTCAGTTGGCAGTGCTAAGTCAGTCGGACCCAATTTTTCAAAGGGTGATAGCCTGCGAGCATTACAAAGCCCTACACACCAAACGGCACAGCCTAAACCGCCACCTGTCATCCACTGCCCTGCACCTATAAAATCAGGTTTAGAAGCTCGAAGCAGTGAATTGAACCCTAAATCCCCAAACCGTTGAACCGCAAATTTCCATACCTGAATACTTTCTTGTGACGTTCGACAACCGTCCAAGGCTTGAACCGCAGACACCCAAACCGTAGCAATGCTTTGCCTCCTCCGTCTGTTGTTGAGTTCAGCTGTCGGATGCTTAGAAGACGAGATAGGGCAGTTGCCCAGAGACTCCCAAATCCCGAAGTGTCGACTATCCCTGAGGTGAGAAGGGGCATTCCTGAGTATGAAGCCGTGAATTGAGGGAATGTTGGAATCTCCTCGTATTTAGCAGTGAGAGGCGGCTCCACGTCAGCCAACTAGCCGTGAACGCGGCCATCACAGCAGCACAAAACGGCCAGCAGCCGCTCGACGGCAACTTGTCGGAGATAGGTATCCTTGTTGTGTTGTTGTGGCTCGGATTTCCCTGGTATTTTCAAGCGGTAAGCGCGACAGCACAGGTCTTCGGGCTGGTGTAAATTTATCGGACATCTCTGCGTTTCGCGCCCTTGCGTACGGCTAGGGCTTGCAAGCACTGAACCTCCCACATTGTGTTGGCCCTGTGTTTGTTCATGCTGTGCATCTTGCTTGTTCAGCAATTGAATGGCATTGCCGGGCAACGTCTGGACTCAACGTTGATCTCAGCACGCGGATATTGCAAAAGTATCTGCGGTGGGCTGCTGCGGCTGCTGCTCCTGGCGCACCCTTAAACTAAACCTCAAACCCGATGTAACCCCCACAATACAGAGGCCTACATGACGGGTCTTGATATCCCCTTACAGTCGCTGGTTGTCCCCAACAGATCCTAAACCCTACCAACGTCCTAACCCTAAAGCCCCACTCGTTGATTATTGGCTTTTGGAAACCTCTGAAGCGGTAATATAGGGGCCTGAATAATTACCAATACTATGGGTCCTTATTATAATGAATTAGAGTGTAATGAGCCCCAAAACCCTATTGTGATTGTCAAAGCCCCTAAATTACGCCTTCCAGAGGGCTTTAGGGCACCGTACTCGTTCAACAGGTAGAGCAAAGGTTTACAAACCCAATGAAACACCGGAAATCACTTTGATAAGAAGCCATTCGAATATACTGAACCCTTTGTCGTAAAGACCCTATATAAACCCCTACAGTAGTCCCAAAAACCTATAATCCTAAACCTTATCATAAGCCCTAAACCTTCGAATGAACCCTAAACTTTAACAAGCCCTAAACTCCTAAACCTCACAGTGAACCCGAAGCCTTAACAAGCCCCCAACCCTATAATAAACTCTAAACCTTAATGAGCCCAAAACCTGAATGAACCCTAAACCTTAACAAACCCTAAACCTTAACAAGCCCTAAACCTTCTAGTGAACCCTAAGCCTTAACAAGCCCTAAACTTTATAATGAACTCTAAACCTTAATGAGCCCTAAAGCTGAATGCACCTTAAACCTTAACAAGCCCTTAACCTTATAGTGAACCCTAAACCTTTATATGCCCTAAACCAGATAATGAACCCTAAACCTTAATGAACCCTAAACCTGAATGAACACTAAACCTTAACAAGCCCTGAACCTTATAGTGAGCCCTACACCTTCATATGCCCTAAACCATATAACGCCGTATGATGAACCCTAAACCCTATAATGAGCCCTAAACCCCAAACCCTAAACCCGAAACCCTAAACCCTATAACCCTAAACCCTAAACCCTATAATGAACCCTAACCCAAACCAGGTGGCCTTCGGCCCTGGGGCTGCTAGGCTTTGGTGCGCCGGACACCGCGTCTGCCAACGCGGCACTCGGCGCGTGTGGCGCAGGCGCATCACTGTTTGAGGGTTTAGGCTTTAGGGTTATAGGGTTGAGGGTTTAGGGTTGTAGGGTTTAGGGTTTAGGGTTATAGGGTTTAGGCTTTAGGGTTATCGGGTCTAGGGTTTAGGCTTTAGGGTTATAGGGTTATAGGGTTTAGGGTTATAGGGTTTCAATTTCTGGTCATGAGTCTGATCCAATGTACGAAAAATCAATTCAATAAAGTAGTAGAGTATGAAATCAATAAAGTAGTAGAGTATGATATAGTACAGTGTAATGTAATGCTATATGTTGCATGTTTGTATATGTATATGTATATGTATATGTATATATATATATATACATACACATACGTGTGTAAGACCCTGTCAGTGGCTATTATGTTTGAAGCTAGCCCTTAGATCCCGTACAACATCCGTGAACAATCCTTATGAAACCCCTTTTAATACACCCTAAACCCTAAACCCCTAAACCCGAAACCCCTAACCCCTAGACCCTAAGCCCCTAAGCGCAAAGCCCCTAAACCCCTAAACCCTAAACCCCCAAGAACGGTGACGGAGGGTAAAGCCTCCCGGTAAACGGGGATGGAAATGACTCGGCTTACGCGTCAGACAATACGGACTTTAGTCCGTTTTATCAGAACCCCAAATCCCTCATCGTTGAGGTGTTTTTACCCCCAGCAAAGGCTGGGGCCCCAGGCTGGCAGATTCCAGTCCGGGGCTGCCTTCCTACCTGCCCCAGTTTAGTGGGGACACACATCTTGAAAGGTGGGACCCAGAGATCAGCCACCCTAATCTGAAACACACACTCTACGAAAAGACTTTAACATGGCAAAATCCGGCCTTGATTTCCAGATCCGCCTCGAGCCTCGGACGGTTTAGTAGGGGCGCACATTTTCGGAAAGGAGGGGCCCCGAGACGATTGGCCACCAGCCTAATCCAAAACATGCATGTCACCAGAAGAATTTAACATGGCAAAATCCTGCCCTGCCCTGCCTTCGAGCAACCCTGACTGGTTGCGAGGGGCGAATTGTTTGTTGGGAACCTTTGCTTGTCGTCGAGCGGCCAGCACCGTCTCAGCTCTAGTTTGCTGCGAAACGTGCAGTGCTAATCCGCGAGGGGAAGCGGAGAGCAAGAAAGCCCCCCTTGCAGGGGGTTTGAGGGTGAACCCTAAACCCTAATTGAGAATAATAGTTGGGGTGGTTGAGGCGGGACTACATGCTGACGCAAGCGTGCGATTAGTGGGTGCGCCCCTATTCCTAATAAAAAGTGCGCCCACCGCACGCACTTTGTCTACACACCTTAAACCCGTAAACCCCTACACCCCCTAAACCCTGTATTAATACAGCCCCCGACGGTTTGGGAAGGCTCGGCATGGCGAGCCGCCTTGGCCCTGCAGGGAGCGACTGCGGCCTGTCGCGTCGGGACAGGTTCCAAGGGTAGAGGGTTTAGGGCTTAGGGAGTTCAGATTTATAAGCGTTTTATGGGGTGTTAAAGAGTTGCGTAGAAGGTTTCATAGGGTTCTACGAATATTTTAGTGGGGTTGTGACTGTGGTATCTGGCATCTGGACGGGGGCTCTATGTTTCGGATGCCGATCAAGGGTTCAGATTAGGGCATTCCATGGGAATAGGCAATATGGTTCTAGACAGGGCTCTATAAATTCTGTAGGGTTCTAATAAGCGAATTCTAGGGTTCGGCATTTGAAACTTTGGGAAGCTTCTCCATGTTCAAAAGGACGCTGAACGTGCGACCCAGTAAGAAAAATTAGGGTTTCAGAACTTTGCGATACCAGGTATCCTAGGGTTCTACGGTTTAGGATCTTGGGTCTTCGGCCTCAGGGGCTTGGGGCGGTTTTAGGTTTCAGGATCTTAGGAGTTCGGGGTTCATGGTCTCAGGGTTTCCGGCTTTAGAGTGTAGGTCTTTCGGGCTTCAGCAATTGTAGAAATAAAGGTTTGTGGGCATATATATATATATATATACAGACAGAAACATATATGATCATATCTGTATCATATATTTATGTGTCTATGTATTTTCCTTCTTATCTTGTTATATGCGGTGTTGTGGATGACACGTTAACATGGTTCCCCATGTGAAGCTATGTAGAAACCTACGCAGCCGTCGTGTCATGTGAAACCGTACGTAAGCTCTTCATGTGAAGGGTTTCGGAGTTTCGCAGGCGCGCTTGGAACGGCCGCGACACTGAAGGTGGCCCGGCGGGTCTCGGCTTCCGTTTGTCTCTGTAGGATTGAAACTGAAATTGGTTTAGAGTCCTTGACCTCAGGGCTTTGTGATTTAGGTATTGGGGATTAGGGTGATTAGGGTGATTCAAGGTCACGCTGCTTCGAATCCGTAGGCTTGATTGCTGAAATCCCTTTGTTGAGGGCTTTCTGTAAGAGTGGGTGTGTGTTGGCTGGCATGGTTTTATGCAAGTCCCTCCAACTGCAGAGGTGAATTGGCATTTGCTGTTCCTCAAATTAAGGCAGCGGCGTCCAGAGATTTGGATGGGTGTGCCACTGCGGGTCCTGGTAGTCTCCCTTGCACTGCTGGTGATCTCCTCGTGGTCTCGCCGTGGTCTCTTCGTGGTCTCCTGGACTCCTGTCATAGTAGCTCTCGTTGGCGGTCCTGGGTTCTACTCGTCGTGGTCGTGGTTGTCACGGTCGTCGTTTTGCGCTTTCACTGTTCAGGTGCGTGTCATGCGTCGGTCTGTGTGTGTGGATTCGGCTACTTCTCTGATTCAACGAGCGATTGCCCACAATCCTAAGTCTTCAGGTCTGAGGCCCTAAATTCCTTCGATGCCATGTCTCACTGTCGTAGGGTCCCTGCGCTACATATTCGGATCTCGTGGACCTTACCCCGAAAAACAGGTAATGCTATTTTGCATCCTGCAGGCTAAACCCAAAACCCCTCAAATCTTGAATCCCTGAATCCTCCCGGGCGAGGCCGGGTCACGGCAGTTGCAATGGCAACTTGCTGCCGCGAGCTTGGTAGAAACGCGTGGTTAGGATTCAGGCTTGGAATGCAGAATTTTCATGACAACGGTTCAGGATTCGCAGCCCAAAACTAAAGTTCTAAGCCCCTGCACGCTCAACTTGCGTTCGAAGGGCTAGGGTTCAGCATTGAAGGCGTGCAGTTCCCGACGATGTTGGACACGTGATGCGGACACGAAGTAAAAGCATACAAGCCCAGCCGCCAGAAACTCCGAAAACCCTGAACTACGGAATATGCATGAGGTGTTGAGCCATCTAAAGGATCCCGAGATATCTTGCCGCACCTTCCGAACACAGGGGGTAACTTGGAGTCTCTTGGTTCACCTCAGGGCCGCTTACTTCTCAAACTACCGGTCGCGGATGCCGCCGCTGTGGCCGACGCTGCCGCTGCTGCAGAAGCGGTCCGAGGCGGTTTCAGGGTTTAGAGCTTTTGGGCCAGCCAAAAGGCCGAAACCCTACACCCTAAGCACTCTAACCCTAAAGCTTACAGGGTTATCGGGGTAGAGTTTAGGATTTGAGGTTATGTAGGTCGCTTGAATTTTGGGGTTGCGACCCCGAGTTTGTGGCCTTCATGTCTAGCCATAGGCCCCATAGTAGTTCCTTTTTGTGGCTTGTATTTAGGATCCTATTAGGTAATTCCAAAAAGGAACTACTATGGGGCCTATGGGTAGCTCTGACGTGGCAGGAATCATCCCAGAGTTGGAGCTTTTGGATCATGTCCTTGGTTTGTGTGTGTGTGACGCCTGCAAGCCGAGAGGGTTTTCAGTTTTCATACCTTGTCACCTGCTGTTTGCACAGTGCAGGATGCCAAGTGGCTGCGCAGCTTGCCTTGTTGGAGACATAGACACTGTTCTCTATCAGAGCCTCGCCCATGTCTTGCTGGTGTTGCCTTGGGTTCCGACAGTACCGCCATGGAGACCCTGAACCCAAAACCCTGACTTTCGATCGGTTTCCACAACCGCAGCAGCCTTTTGGCACAACATCATGAGGCAGCTTCGTGGTGGGGCTTCAGGGTTTCCAAGGTTCAGGTTTGGGGGCCATTTAGCTAGCGCGTTTCTAGCTGTGAACCGGGCTAGGACGCTGCGCCTTTGTTGGGGGGGGGGGGGGGGGGGNNGGGGGGGGGGGGGGGTCCTGCTCTGACGTGTGCATAATTCTAAAAGATTGCCCAATCACCTGGCATTCAGGGAAGGGTGGCTCGGCCAACATCTCAACTTAAAGCCCGAGCTTGAACCCCCACTCCCAGACCGTTGGAAGGATCTAGAAATTTCAATTCTTGATTTGGTACCCTATACTACTGCGAGGCATGTACAGGAAACCCTCAAAAATTGCAAAGAACCCTTTGTTTCCGCGGGTCTGGACTGAGGTGCCACTTGGATCATCTTCACTGGCTCGGTTTGGATACCCTGCGCAGCAAGCGAAAAGTAGCAGCGCTCAGAGCTTTTAGGACGTTCTGGGGATATTCTGAAATCATGTATTCAGCCCTCTATATTTCCGAAACATTGTATTCAGCATATGTTTACGATGTGATCTGCTCGCCACGGCACCAGTTTATCGATGCAAGTGCCTGTGCGTACATAATGTGCAAACATGTAGGTCCTTGCACCCCGACAGCATAAGCCCCTTATGCTCACAGTAAGAATGCCATGGTCAATCACCCGTCGGGTTTGCATTGTCACTTTTGCGAAAGATATCTTAGGAGGCGAGCCCAGTAGATCCTGAATCCTACAACCTCATCGCCCCAACTTGTAAAGAGGCCTTTTAGCGCCCCCCATGGCCGAAGCCCGGAAGATTCTAACTGCCCTGCTGACATGCATGAAATGCTACAGACATCCAAGCTAGAAGATACTTCGGAACCCTAAGCCCCTTCCGGCCCCCCGCCGCCCGATAGAGTCAATAAGGATCTTAGCACAAACCCGACTCTAACTATTCAGGCCCCTTTATGCTGGCACTCGCTTTTCTCAGAT